TCGTTTACACAGAATTGATTGAATGGTTGTATTGGTTCATCTTCAATCGAATGGAACACTGGAAATATATCTGATCGATTAGTATTAAAATTATTGAAATTGGTTCAGAGGCAGCTGAGTTATTAACGTTCAAAATCTTTCATGATTTTGTTACATGTTCCATTTCCGGTTTTCACAAAGTGTACCCCCATATAAAAATCACAGACGAAATCCTACTTAAAAAAAATGAATCACTTCACAAAGCATTGAATAACTTCAGAAAAGTTCGGAATCTCTTCAGAAAAACAGAATCACTTCGTTAAGTACTGAATCTCTTTAACAAAGTTTGAAATCAAGGTTGCAAATGCTCATTTCAGCTAAAATAATGTTTTTCGGAATAATTAAACCAAAAGATGGTATGACGACATGTTTTACTTGTAACTTACAAGAAGAGGTTACACAGTATGCGTTTGAAACATAAAACTTGTAAATTTTGCTTTCTATGAGTCACAATCAGCGATTTGCTGATCGCTGAGTGAGTGAGTGAGTGTGTGAAAAATCGCTGATTGTGACTCTCATGAAGTGAAATAAACAGGTTTAATATGTCAAACACATTCTTTGCAATCTCTATTTGTATCTTACCTATTCAAAATATGATCATAGCATCTAATTATTTCAAAATAAAAAAAAACATTGTTTTAGCTGCAATGAGTATTTGCAACCTTGTTTGAAATCACTTCAGAAAGTACTAAATTACTTCATAAAAAATTGAAATCACTTAGAAAAGCTCGAAACCACTTCGGATGATATTGAATCACTACAGAAAATGTCGGAATATCTTTGGAAAGTACTGAATCATTCCAGAAAGTTTGTAATTTCTTCTGCAATAACTGAATCACTTTTAAAATAATTGAATAATTTCGGAATCCACTCTTCAGATAGTTCTGAATCACTTCAGAAAAGTTTGAAATTACTCTGGAAGGTACTGCATCATTCCATGAAGTTTGTAATCAATGAAAAACTCTAAAAAAGTTTGAGTTTACTTCAGAAAGTACTGAATCACTTCAAAACAGCTCGGAATCTGTTAGGATAGTATTAATTCTTTTCATACAATTTCGGATTTACTTTGGAAAATACTGAATATTTCCGCAAAGCTTTCAATTGTTCCCATAAGAACTGAATCATTTTAGAAAAGTTGAGAATCCTTTCGGAAAGTATTTTATGATTTCACAAAAGCTCGAAATTACTTTGGATAGTACTTTATTACTTGAGAAAGTTTCAGAATTGCTTTGGAAAGTTGCTGTACCATTTCATACAAGTTTTGAAGCACTGTATAATAACTGAATCACGTCATAAAAGTTTGAGATCTCTTCAGAAAATATTCACATAAATCACTACAGAACAACATCGGAATCCCTTCGGGAAGCACAAAATCATTAAACAAAAGTTTTAAATCTCTTCGGAAAGTACTGAAACACTTCAGAAAATCTCGGAATCAGTTCTACAAGTACTGTGTTGCTGCAGAAAACTTTGAACTCAATTCAGAAAGTACAGAACTAATTGAGCACGAGCATGAGCATGAGAAGGATTAACCGCTCACGGTTCCTATTCCGTTATTGCAAGATCACCTGTTATTACACAAAGTACCAACAAACGATGTTTAGGACGAGCATGCATCGTCAATGTGTAAAAACTGGTGACCTCATACTTAAAAATAGGCAATAATGGAAAGGATGGATAGGAACGTGTTGACGTGATACTCGCTTGGTTGAAAACCGAGAGATCCTGCGCACTTCCATGACAAAACAATTTGAATAGTTTTAGGAAGAGCGAAGGTATTATCTTAGCCATATTAGCACTCAATTGTGATCCATCAAAAAAGGTTTCGATTTTGGCAACATAGATGAAGTAGTTTTGTATCCACAAACGATAATTCGCTGTACTGAATTATTTTAGGAACATTTGAATTACTTCGTAAAAATTTGGAAACACTTTGGAAAGAACTGGATCAATTCAGTTCAGATCATGACTCATTAGATCAATTTTTAATGATTGGGAGATTAAATTAAGAAATTGTTTTCGAAATCTTAAATTTGATACAATTGAGAAATTGACGGGGGTTTCGGCGCAAGATATTTAATGTCTTAACACTCCGTAGTCAAGAGGAATCATAAAACTTTTGGAATTAAAAAAAAGTTCCATGAAGTGCTAAACTATTTTGAGATGAACTCCAAGGGATGTCTTGATAGACGAAAGTAAGTTTTGAATTGAATTCCTAGGTTATTCTTGGAATAATTTAAAAGGAGTTGTGTTGTGAGCTGAACTTCAATGTGAATCCCTTGATGATTTTGATGACAATTGAATTATGTTCTTTAGGAAAATTAAGCAGGTTAGTTTTAATGAGAAACCCAAGAGAATTCTTAAGAGAATTGGGAAAGAATTATAAACATATATACATATAAGGTTGAACAATAATTTTCAAGGAATACTGAGGAAGATTTACAAGAGAACATCAAGGGAATTTAAAAAAAGAAATATTCGGAATGGTATTCTGAGGTTAATGCCAACAAAATTTGGAAGGAAGCTTAAATGATTTTTTAATTCAGAAAAAAATTCCAATTGAGAAGAATTCCTGGTAGGAGTTTTCTAGAAAACCTAAGAAGAATTCTATGATAATTCTGAGAGTAAATTCAAGTTTAATCTAGGATCAATATAATGGGAATTCTGAAAAAAATGCATGGTTGTTTTGCTTCTCTAATCAAGACTAACGAAGTCATCTCAGAGAGACGCAGTAGAATCATATAGGTAACTCTAAGACCAGAAGGTCCCGAAGAAACGAGCTCAACTTTTTGGCTCAGCTCTAAAACTATCTCCGGTCTCAAGCTAATCGATGCACCCCTCGAAATATAGGAAAATCCACGAACCCCTAATTTTATCTGTCAAACTTTCATAGCGAATCAAAACAAACATAGTGTACTACTAGAATTTCGACTAGAATGGGGTACGTTAATCGATTTGCTTGGGACCAATAGGCTAGTCAAGTAGTGAGCCAATTTAAAATCGTTAGTTTCGTATTGACTGTCGGGGACTAATTTGAAATCCTCTCGCTGAACTTCTGCCACTCTTTCTTTTCTAGATAAGGTGTTATGGTTTGTACATGATGATATTTAAGTTGCAGTAGGAATAACACTAGCGCCGTGTAATAAGTAATTTCCGGACTTTTGTCCTCCTACCAAAAAGCCATGACCTATTGAAGAACTTTTCCAAAGACAGAAACCTTATATACAGCCAGAATCCCAAGATATAGCATATTCAGAAAATTCTTATGCACACTAGCACCAAGACTTGTTTTCTTGGGACCAATAGCCTAGTCAAGTAGTGAGCCAATTTTAAATCGTTAGTTTCCACCGGTTGCTAGCACCACCTAGTGATACAATTCTGAACTACTGTTCAACAAGTATAAAGGCCTTGACCCTCTGACCAATTAACTTGTGCACTAGCGCCTCGTAGTAAGAAAATTCTGAACTTCTATCCACCGACCAAAAGGCCTTGACCTACCGATCAACTTTTTTTTTATAAGATTAGAATCGATATTCCAAGGAGGAACGGACAACCCACAAAGTACAACATGCGAGTACTCATGTTACAAAAGTTGGTGCGAGTACTGAAAGCTTAATCCAAATTTGTAAGGTTTTCACTTTCTGTAACTCATGTTATGCTCATAACAGCAATTCAAATTTCAACGGTAGCTCACGTAGTTGTAATTTCCTTTCGTTCCCGATATGTGATGAAATAGATCGCGAACTGTGACTCGTGAACTACTTTCTTCGTAGCTCCTAAGCAACCGTTCAAGTTTGAATTACTGTTATAAGTAACGCCAGGGCTAGAAAGCACCTCAGAGCGGTAAGTGAACCCTACACGACAGTTTGTATTGACAATAATCGTATTGTCAATACATTTTATATTGACGTCAATACATCGTTATTGACAATATTTCTGTATTCACATCATCAATATTATTATCAATACTTGTAAGTATTGACAATATTTCTTACCGTGTGGGGTTAGCTTTAGAAAATCAACTTTGTGCATGCATTTCACAACACTCGACAAAGAGTGTGTGGTTCTCCCATTTACTTCGCACACTCTTTTCCAATTAATCTGTGAGAAAGTGATCCACACAATGAGCGGTACACTCCGTGCGGCGCAGGGAGCGAATATAATACAACAAGCGCTAATGTCTTTTTTGAATTATTTGCAGACTTTGCTTACCACGACTGAATGCATAGGAGATGAAGAAGAGCATAACGAAGACGAATTTTGTCTTTTTGCTGGGTTTCCCATTTGCAACCCTACACTGAGTGGCGCTCATCGCGTCGGAGCCGTGGGAGCGATGGCTACACATTGAGCTTTCGTTATTTCTGGGTGCGTGTCTGTCTTCTCTTCTCCGCTGCTCTACACTTGCGCAGGGTGAAAGACAAGCAAACTTTTTGTTTGCTTGATGCTCACTTTGTTTATTTCAGAAAATCAGTACATTGCGCACATTAAATGATCGGATGACAGCCCTGAGTAACGCAAAACAAGCGTTACAGTAAGTGAAAACCTTATAAATTTGTATTAAATATAACTAACTTAGAACAAACAATATTAGTTCCTCTCAATCTCAAACAAGAAAGTTCGCTCGGGAAATAACGCTTTGCGAAATTCGCATCGCAAAGCTCCCTAGCGAAAACATCTCGCATGCGATAGTGAACTTTGGGCGATGTTTCCAACACTAAGTTTCACTAATTGATTCTGAAACTATGGCCTAACTGTTTGACCGTTTATTAGAGCTTTTGATTTTTCCGGTTCTCCCGTCAAATTCCAGGGTTTTCCCCGGTTACTTTTGAAATTCTTGGCTTTCCCGACTCGCTGGCCACCCTGTAAAAAGAGCCCCTCATTTCGCAAAATATTTCACACTCATTCTGGCTCACATCGAACTCATAATTTCGTCGAGTTCAGCAGCCCCATCATCCGCTGCATCAATCGCATCCTCCGCTATCAATGTTTGTGATACCGAGCAATAAATAATTGCAGTTCGTATTCGTTCGTTGGCGTTCGCCATACATACTCGTACAATCACCATTCAGTTCTACGAAGCTTTGAATCATGTCACTGCTGCCGCTGCTTTTCTCCGGAACCAGTTCATCGTTATTACTGCTGGTAAGTATTATATAATCCCCCGCAGTTGGACGCAATTCAAGCTCGAAAGGATCTGTTCCTCCACTCCTAGACTGCTCTAACGATGGCCGTTGTTAGCGGGGAAGTGCCGGTGACACTCGATCCGGAGAAGACGTCATTTGCTTTTACGAGAAGTATCGAGTTGCATGCGAGCGGCGGGAATGATTCCGATCTACTTCTTCGAGGGGAGCGCATAGGCAACTGGACTAGGTGGGAGTTTGGAGAGGTTATAGATCAACCGACCGGATGCTTTGTTAGGGATTTGCTGACCAGATTAGAGTTGTTTGACGCTGCAGAGGGACGGTTTCGAGTGAGTTTGAGTTGGTGGAGGTAATATTAGCAAATCGGTATTTTGGATAGTGCGTCTTTTTAGGTGGAACAACTTCAGGTTCAGTTCAAGCAATATGAGAGTTTCCTAAATTGCACTCAGACTGAAGTGGATGACCTTTCTGCTCAGCTAGGACACTACGATAATTTGTGGGACTGCATTTCAGTGTTAAAAGCGTTCAGACAGGCTATATTGCCTTCAATCGATGTATTTAGGCAACTGTTTATTCTGGATCCCAGCACTTCTGCAGTCGTGTATTCCAGTTTGGTAAGCATTTTTACCATAAGAATGAAATTTATTTCGGGCGTGAATTTTTTTAGGGATCATCAATAAGGCAGCCGAACCAGTCAGTATTCGAATTTTGTGAAAAAAAGTTCTACCATAATAAAGTGGACGTTTGGTGTGCAGCGCGGAATTACAGTATTCCCAACGATGAGGATTTTCACAAACATATGGATTGCATTTTCAATATGTTGCGCTATTTCAACAGAAAAGGGGATCTTGATGTGAGTACGACTGATTGAAAATTGATTCAGCTCAGTGGCAAACATACCGTTGAATCTTTAGGTGACGGAGATTTGCCGAGATTTCCATCAAGTTGGCGTAATGCACCTGGATGATGGCATATCGGAAATTCTAAGGCTCTGTAGCGTTAATCCCGAAAGTAAGGCACTGTCGTACTATCGGTGTTTGTTGGAGAGTGATTATTTGGATCAATTCAAAGAGGCCTTGGATTATCGTGAGATTCGATCGAGTGACTATTGGTATGCGCTGGTGAACCCCGAGTCAATTTACGACAGGGATCAAGTGCAGCTCCAGATCAATACTGTTAATAATGAATATTGTAATAACTAATTGTCACTTACAAACAAACCGTTAAGTTAAATTCTATTGGATTGACTGTGTTATCAATCTATTGTACTTATGTTTATCAAAGCTCTCATGTCTAATGGAGTCGTAATTTAATCATATTTCCATAGACACTGTGAAATACAACGAAATAAAACGATGAACTGGAAAACAAACCAAATCCCTCCCTTACAAGCCCTTCTAAAGTACACACCAAACAAATGACATGAACATAATATGTAATTAAGGATTTATTGCATCCTCTGCTTATGTTTCTTCAACAGACTACTCAAGTTTTTTTAAAACGAATATTTTCATACAAAACCTTCACGAGATGATTTTGTTTGGGGAAACGAACTTTGAATGCTTTTCATCCTAATCTGTAACAGAATCTTACATTTCCCCTTTGGGTATATGAACCATTCCCTTTTTGCGTCTGGAAAACGAGCTGTCCAAGTTTTCAAATGAAATTAATTAATATTGTTCTTGTAATTATGGAGCTTCTTCCCATACACACACACACTCTCATATCTTTCAAAGCTCTTCTAAGCTATCCAGGCACTTGTTGCCAAGACATGCCTTCATCCGTACGGTTACACTGTGTGTGGCATGTTGCCATAGTTCTAATTATTTAATTGCCTGCTCAAAACCTGCTGCACCCGAGCAAATGCATGAACCTGGGACACACGATAGCGGCGCGCGGAAACGCTGGAAACTGTTGCATCAGAAATGGTTCTTCCCCGGCAGGCTGCTCGAATAACACATGACAATAGCACTGCCTGCTCTGATCCTTTTCAACTGTCTCAGTGTTACTATACTAGCGTACATCGTAGCATCCTACCGTGTCGTATTTCCCTTGCCAAAGGGCTTTAGTCGTTACTGCCACCAAATGGAGAGGCACATTAGGAAAAAGGCATTTGCATAATTTTCGGACAACATACCCCGTTCAGGAAACGTTCCACTCAATTTCCCACAGTGCTCGTTCTACCCCATAACAGTCCCATTCTATTTTAAATTGTGCTGTACCCCCCCCCCCTCCGGTGAATCCCCCAGGTGCATGGTCATGGAAGGCAACCTAGTTCAGGGAAATTTTGCTACTGGTGCTGAATGATGGTTATTGTTTGCTTTCATCTCCGCTGCAGCTAAAAGTGGTTGGTTACCATTCTCGGGCGGAAGAATGGGCAGTGCGGGAAGCCGCCAGTGTTTGACTTTGTTCTTTGTGGCAATGATTTTCTTTGGTTTGCCCTCTTGTTGCCCGGGGGCGCCTACACAGAGGGTGGAATATTAGCAACATCAGTGGAATCCGGTTTTTAGTTTTTAGTCCCTAGTGTAGGTAGTTGTGGCTATAGAGGGAGATAAAGGTTAATTTTCTTTTTAAAAATGCTAATTTTGGAAAATGGTCAGTCGGACTTACATTAACATATCATGTAAAATGAAGTGCTCCGAGATGGACACAAATGTTACTCTGGGCAAGGTGGAAAGCAGGTTTCGGAATAGGGGAACCCTCAATGATGATCTCCTAAAAATCATCTCAGAATTCCCGTAGGAAAGCATTATCAAGTTTGACCCATACAAACTTCAAAAGACCAGTGAAGTATGAGAGATCACAGCCAAATGATCTTTAAATTTTTGGCAGAATGATTACGATCTAATTAAGAATCTTTTGAGCGGGGTGGAGTACAATCGCTATTTTGAACCACCCTAAACGTATTTTGGGAATGGGGCCTTCGTGTAGAAGCCAGAAATGACTATATACAGATACTTTCAATGCTATATGCAAAACAATTCGAAAACAAAATTTATGGACTGTGGACATTCGTCAACCACTCCCCTCCTCTAATCTGTCCACGTGGTGCATGGACAGCTCCTTACAATATTGGTATTTTTGGAATGAGGTTATCGTGTCCCTTCCGAAAGTACACATAGTTATTGTAATTATTCTGCAAATCGGATGTCATCAACAATGGTTTCAAACCACTAAACTCACTCACCACTGCAATAACGGAGCTGCGTGCTGAGATCAAGCAGATACACTCAAAGTCAAATGTAAATTTTTCTCCAGCTGCCAATTGGCCCACAGTAACACAATGAAGGGCCAACAAAAGATCACTCGAGATTAGCGCAAGTGCACGACCCACAGAAAACTGTAGTGTAGGTAGTAAGCAGCCGTTAGGTAATGTCGTGTCGGTACCTGTCTTTAAGAACGAAGATCAGAAATTCTGGTTGTATCTCTCCAGAATTAGACAAGATGTTGCAGCTGAAGCTGTATCGGTTATGGTCAAAGCCAATCTCAATGTCGACAGTGATCCTACTGTGATAAAACTGATTCCGAAAGACAAGGATATCACAACTCTTGCATTTGTGTCCTTCAAAGTTGGTCTTGATCCATCGTTGAAATCTAAGGCTTTGGATCCAGAAACTTGGCCTTAGGGTGTTTGAAGATAACGGATCCCAAAAATTTCGGATTCCTTTGAAGTACCGGGAACCAATAACACCGTTGCTGCCAGTTCAAACATCTTTTCCAGCCACTCCTGTAATGGACTTGAGTTAATCTGCTTCGACCCGGGACGCACTAGCTTGAGCATTTCGGAAGCCCATGATCCCCCCATCACAGTCGAGCCATTCCTGCCAGCGTTCAACAGTCATTCTGGTCCTGCATTTGGGTATGGAGAAGGGGTTTTCCAATCCGTTACTACAGGCAAGTACGCATTCATTAATGAAAATGTTGTACCTGATACGTTCGACGTTTCCAGTCAACCACTTCACGCTCGTCTATCATCATCTGGATCAATCGTTACGGCTCCGGGATGCATGCCTGCAAGCCTCATGGAAGCCCCTAATTCCCTCATCACAGTCGAGCTATTGGAAGCGAGAAAATATGGTACCTGCAGAGCTGGTTGTCTATATAACAGGTTGCTATCTTTGCTTTAGGCTCTCGATCATTCTCTGCTTGATCGTCAAGCAGTTCAGTTCGGTGTTAGCTCGCTCTCTCGAGTTGTTTGAAAAGTTCATTGCGATAGTGTTCGTGTTCTCTCTTTCGCGGTTTGTCGTGCGTGTGTGTGTGCCCCGTAATGGGGAAGCATCGGTCGCGAAGCCCGGCGAAGGTCCAGAACCCCGGAGAAGGAAGCTCCGGTGTGCCTACCTCGAACAGGTTTGCTGTTCTCCCCATGGATGGGAATATCCAGCCTGCTGTGTTGGAAAAACGCAGTAAGAAGAGGAAGAAGAATCGAGGCCAGTCCGATGTCACTGCGACGAACAACAGCGATGTTGGAGATTTCGGTGACGCTGCCGAAACCGTGAATACTGCCGAAATGAGCACGGCAAAAGTGAAGCTACCTCCATTGGTAGTGAAAAATGCCCATCTTAATGTGCTCATTGCGGATCTATCGACGCTGGGTGTTAAAGCCGAATACAAGTTGGGCAGAGTCGGCACTAAAGTGATGCTCCGTACCAAAACGGAGTTTGACGTGGTCGTCGCCCACCTGAGGACTTCCAAGGTGGAATTCTTTACCCACGACATTCCCGGTGAGAAGCCGTTCAAGGTCGTCATCAGGGGCCTACCAAACTTCGACCCGAAGTTTATCGAATCAGAAATCAGGGACCGGTACAAGCTGGCCCCAAGTGCCGTGTATCGAATGACAAGAAGAGACGAGAATGTGAAGGCGTATCCGGATAGCCTTTTCCTGGTACACTTCCAGAAGGGAACGGTGACGCTCAACGCACTGAAAGCCATCCGGTCCATCAATTCCATCATCGTTCGCTGGGAGCCATACCGTGGCGGCCATCGCGATGTGACTCAGTGCCAGCGGTGTCTGAACTTCGGACACGGTACCCACAACTGCAACATTAAGCCACGCTGCGGAAATTGCGCTCAAGACCATGCCACCTCCGAATGTGCTGCGGATGAAGCTGTGGCGTCCAAATGCGCCAACTGTGGTGGTGCTCACCAAGGATCCAACAAGCAGTGCCCTAAACGCGAGGATTTCAAGCGCATCCGAAATCAAGCGTCCACCAACAATCAACCAGCACGAAGGAAGGATAAGGCCCCGGCTTTCAGGACAGAGGACTTTCCACCTCTTCGTGGACAAGCGAATCCCAGGGTGCGATCCGCGCCCCCTCAAGAAACGTCTGGATCTTCTGCTGGACAAAGCTCTCCATCCCCCCCTGGATTCTGGAGGCAACCAACAGCTCAAACAAACAATCCCGATCTGTTCTCAGCAGACGAACTGATGGAGATTTTTATCAACATGACCGGTGCTCTACGTAAGTGCCGCAATAAGCCCGAACAGATCCAGGTGCTCGGTAAGTTAATCATCCAATATGGTGTCTAAACCGCTAACCATCGCTACCTGGAACGCTTGCTCTGTAAGAGCAAAACAGATTGAGCTTGCCGACTTCCTCCGCAAGCATAGCATCGACGTGGGTCTTCTAACCGAAACCCACCTAAAGTTCGGTGACAGCTTCTGGTTGCCTGACCACAACATTATCCGGCTTGATCGCACCAGCTCCAGGGGGGGTGGTGTAGCGGTCATCGTCAGAAAGGGAATCAAGTTTTGCACTCTGCCCCACATCCGCACTTCTATCATCGAGGCCATTAGTGTGGAGGTGGAATCACCAACTGGAAACGTCCGGTTCATCGCTGTTTACTGCCCACGCCAGTGTACCGCAAGCAACGGATTAGGAATCCAATTCAAGAAGGACCTGACCGCCATCACCCGTACTAGCTCCCGATTCATCGTTGGGGGCGACCTGAACGCCCGCCATGAAGCTTGGCGGAACTACCAGAGGAATCGAAACGGATGTCTATTGTTCGACCACGCACAACATGGACTGTACACAGTGCAATTTCCGGACGAGCCAACTTTCATCTCTCCAGCGGGAAATCCCTCCACGCTAGACTTTTTCCTGTCAAACATCGGACTATCCAAGCCGGAGGCGCACAACGATCTCAGCTCCGACCCCCAACCGGTGGTGACTGAAGTCGGTGTCAACGTGGTTCCTGCTAGAAGCTGCCTGCGTAAAGACTACCACCATGTCAACTGGGTGCAGTACGGACGAATGGTGGACAGCAACATCGATGAAAATCCACTACTCGACACCGTAGATGACATCGACCGGGCGTTGGAAGGACTCCAACAGGCCATATC